TGTTTCACGTAACACCCCCCTCTCCCCCCCCCCCCCCCCGAAGTCAGCTGGCTTTTGCTTAAGAAGGAGGAGCTTTTCCACCTCCTTCTCCCCACCCCCACCATAAAATTTACATTAGATGCTGCAAACAGTGTGTAACTTTTGAAAGGGCCATATTACTTGCCATTACTCACACACCGTGATAACATGACAGTGTAACCTGAGTGCATTTAAACACCTGCATACAGCTGATACAAAAACTATTCTAGCACATTTTAATTAATTTGATTGTGCAGCAAAATATAATACTTAGATGAGAATTAATGTACCTGAAGTCAGAATTCTATGGACTGACTTTCTTGATTACTGTAGGTCATATGTTACATTTTATTTTGTGAGTCACTGTTATTGCTTGAAGGACTCAGTCTGCACACAGATATTGTTGTCCAGTAATAAAGTACAGTATGACTGTTAGGCTTAATTCCTCAGTGTTTATTTGGCTGCTTTGGCAGATTAATGCTATTTGCATGGAGTAACAAGAACTTGTTTGAAATGTATTATTCAGGCTAAAATTGTAGCATGTGCTCCATTTAACTTAAACTCCTAATGCATGGTCAGGCAAAAGAACTTAGGGCTCAGTTCTTTATCCTTTAAACTCACTAGGAGTTTTGCCTGACACTGCTCTTTCTCTGTTGGGGCTAATGCAGAGCCATAGTCTCTCAGGAGGAGTTCCAGGAACCACTCTGCCTCATCAAGGAAGAATTTCTCCTTGAGCTCCCTGGGGTATGAGGCATGTATAACTGTACTACATTCATGCACTAAATATAGCATATTCCCCTGGCCTGTTCCATGAACCGGTGCAGGAAGGGAGAAACCCTGGACCTGAACTCCTCACTGATCCCCTTGTGGTGGTGTATGCCCCCAGGATCTCAGGGCATATGCAGAAGCAGTGTTACCCAAGGACCTGGACTGTAAATATGACCAGCTTTTTGTGGCAGTGGGAAGGGCTTGCATTCATACCTCCTTCCCCCATCCATGCTGCCATGCATCCACATAAAGGCCATTGGCCATTTGCTCTCTCCCCCCGCCCCAGTGAGCTCCATTTAAAAACTCTCCTCTCTCAAGCTAAGGCACCAGCATTAACCACAGTGTCTTGAGGTGCTTAGAACATAAGTTACAAAAATCCCAATTGCTGAAGAGAGGAAAAGTAAGTTTTAATGGCACCCAATACACTAGCAATTATGTTAGCACTAGATGTGTTGAACCTGTACAAACCCCAATGCAGACAATCTTGCCTTGCAAAGTTTACAATCTAAGGTTTAAAAAAAACCCAACCCCAAACCTTGGAGAAGATGGGATGCACTGAGAAGGCCAAAGGTAAGAGTAAACTTGGGGAAAACATTTATTGTATGCACGACATGGTTCAACTCACTTTTTGTGGGCATTGGGGAGTCGGTGAGTCTTTAGAAGGGATTTGAATGTGGGCACATGGTGACTTAACAAGCAGGGAAAAAGACCTGGAGCTGAGAATGGGGTGAATGGGTTATTGAGGTCAGCATCTTTAGAGCCATGTGGGAGATGAATGACCGGATGGGAGCTGTATCTTACTGATGAGCAGACCAATGTCAAGATAAACTCTTTATTAGGAGCAGGGACTATATGTACACAAATGAGGTAACAAGCTTATTACTACCCTGTGTACCTGTAGCCTGCAACGACTCTGTGTCGGTCTTTGTTTATGCCCCAGAAGAAACAGGAACTGTCCCAGGAAATCAAATACTAGGCAAAGAATTGTCAACCCTACCCTTCCTGGAGAACTTAGCTGGATGGCATACCTTTCTTTTTATAGAATGCTAACAAATTAAACTATCAAATTTATTACCAATACAATAACTGACTTGACTTTTTGATTAAACAGAACTCTAACATATCTCAATCTGATCAGGCTTGTAGGACAATCTTCCCAATCGGCTGGATTGCAGTCCCTCTTTAGTCCATGATAAAGTTACATTGTGAATTGTTTCCGTTATGTGTATTTTCTTCTCGCATCACTTATGTTTAACTAGGTGTCAGAGCAAATGCTTAGTCCTCTATAATATTGTTGCTTTAATCTGTGATCACTGAGTATGAGCAAGGTGACTCTTAGATCACTAGTTTTGGCTGTCCAGTGCCCATGTTGTCAAAGTCTCACTGAGTCTATATATTTTTAACTGTGGAAGAAGTCTGTTAGTTTTTTTTTTAATAGATCTTACACCTATGCCAAACCCTTCCCCTCTAAGTACGACTAGTAGAACATGGACAGACATTGCCAGTGCGGACACCCAGTGACCTGCCAGCTCCTGTAGCAGCATGACACATACTGGAGGAACAAAAATAAAATGGGATTTATTTAATTAAGTTGCAGGTTAACATTTAGTTTAATAAAACCCTCATCTTCTCTTAATGTTTTCCAATCTATTTTACACTGACAGGGAAATTGCAGTTTGACATGAAGATGGAGGTGGGGGGAGAACAGCAGTTTGCATGGCATTTAAATTATTTAAATCCTGCTGACCAAAGAATACACGGCCCTTGGCAGCAGCTTAATTTTCTCTCTCCTATTTATTATTCTAACTCTTAACTTGGTAAAGTGCTTTGAGAGTCAGTTGGTGTGAAAGA